CTTAATTTATTCTTGGAATACATGTATAAATTCTTTTCAAAAATGCATTGAACAAAAAGATATAGGCACATGAAATACGAAAAGGTCCCTAGGGACCTTCTCACAAATCGAAGGGTTAAGTTTAAAAAATTAACAGACTAATGTTAAGCCAAAGAACGTAAACTTTTGTCAAAGAGATAAATTTGCATTCAAGTGAATCTAATGGTTATATCCGCCTTCTTTGCATATCAGTGAAAGAATGTTTTAATCCAGAAATTCCACAAACTTTCCACATACCTAAGAAGTATTTATCCACAAAAGACTAAACGCCCGTTTAATAGCCAAAATTAGGCAACGCTCATCCCAACACAAATACGAAAGATGCCCAACTCTCAACTTTTCTCCCGCGTCCATTGCCAGCTTTTGCATATATGTAATTAAAATTATGTAAGATATTCTTCCTTTTTAATGCAATGAAACGAAATTTGAACTTTTCTGTCTTTAGTATCTAGGCCAAAGTTGTACGCAGACGGTCTTGTAAGATTTCCCCAAAATAGAGCGTTAAAAAACCTTACAACACTGGTTAAAAGGTTTGTTTGTTTACATTTACCGTGTCCGGTCCAGTGATGGAAAACTAGGCAGAACTGTACTTTTTTCGTCCTATTTTAATTTGTAGGCATATTTGGTTCAAGGGCTCTAATTTAAGTACATTGCGGGAGAATATCATAATTTAAAATAATCGGAAATGGCAGCAGAACGGTTTTAAAGTCTTAAGATTGATTTCCAGCACTAAACAAATATATGCACATAAGATCGAAAAGAATATATAACAATGGCAATATTTAATCTGCAAACAGAAGATAAAGCTGTCACCAAAACCTTCTTTGGTTCCTTTGAATTAGGAGGCCATTTCTAAATAACTAAAAATTTGTTTTCTTTTGGTTTTTGCTTGTCGTTCTTCCGGCAAACGATGAGTTATGACAGCCTTTTGGTAAATGAACGATGTATCGCATGTTTCATAATACACTGGTTAACCCTCTAGTAGGCCAATTTTTTTATGAGTTGAAAAATTCAGGAATTCGTGATTTTAGCACGAGAAATCCAAAACTGATGTCGATTTCGATATGTGACAGTAACTTTTTCCTACAGGGGAGTAAAACCAAGACCGTCTGGAGACGGGCTCACCGATATACTTACACATATTTTCAGCTTTCTCTTACACAATAAGGGTGGGTAACTCTGTAAATTTTGGTGTGCTGACTCAGTAACTCCAACTCACTTTAATGAGTCAGCACAGTGAGCTGGCACAAGTGTGCTATCGCACAATTGGTATGTACATCGAAATTATTGATGATGTTAGTAATCGAAATCGATTTAGAAATGGTTATCCTTAGCTTCTGTTCGTAGCTGGCCGGCAAAATTTTAGAAATCTGATTTCAACTGGTGAGTTCATTTGCAAAATAATTCCTCTTCTTGGATGTATGTATTATCTTCTGGCCCAGTTATGCATACTTAGCATTGCTTGAGAGTTGTCACATAAGAATCTGTTAAATGGGCTATGCATGTAAGCGGATACCCAACGCATAGCACTTCACATGTAGAATTCTGTTTGGTTTTGATTTTTACGTAAAAGTAGTATAGCAGTGTAAGTATGCATAACTGGGCCTTGCTTCTTGTTAAATTTGGTAGTCGTATATTCAATTGATGGTTAGTCTAGTGATGCCATCTATTATGGTACTTTTTGGAAGATCGTATTGTGTGAATGTGTCAGCTCATCAATTGAGTTACCACATCGACACAGTTCTAAACAATGCAAGCCGCACCGAGCTATGCAAGTGTTAGCACATCAACTGAGTTACCATATCGACTCTGTAGCACACTGAGCTATACATTGTCAGCACATAAACTGAGTTACTGAGTTACAAATTTTTTCAGATGTGAGTCTGAGCGTGCGGCACAGTTCTAAGAGTCAGCACAGTAACTCAGCACAGTGCTGAGTTACCCACCTCTATTACACAATGTTGACCTACGAACCGGCAATGCCGTCTGCAGACGGTCAAAAATGCAAAACTGGGGTTTTATATGTCAGCAAGCCGGTCCATTTCGAATGGTGACATAATTATAAAACTTATATCAAAATACGGTGCTTTTATCAACGAAATCCCCCGAATTTTTTTATATCGAAAAATTATTCAAAAGAAAAAATTTCTTTAATTACGAAATTCCTAAATAGCAAGAAATAATTAATTTTCACCGTGTTTTCAAAATCTGTAATTCAACTGCCGATTAAAATAAAACGGATTGACATAACGGATTAAAATTTACTTCGCCGTAAGGGTACGATTTTCGCTTAAAGATCGTGCCTTACGAATATAGAAAAAAATTATTATAGGTGAACTAAAAAGGTGTTTAGTTAACGACCGTCTGGAGGCGGTTCTGCCTACTAGAGGGTTAAACGTCAAAATTTTGTGGGAAAATGCAGTCAAATTTTGACCAGTTCATATAGGTGGTATAAAAAGGACAAATGGATAAACTCATACCTTCGCCATATTTGTGAAGTTCAGCCATCTGTAAGACTGAACATATTCTCGTTCTTACGACAGTCGGGTCTATGTAACCGGAACGACCAAGATTTATATTTGGCCAAGGACTGTCACTCCAGCAACACTCCCCAAAACTCTATAGGGAACTTGTATGCTGCTACAACAACAACAATAACAACAACTGAACATATTCTCGTTCTTACGACAGTCGGGTCTATGTAACCGGAACGACCAAGATTTATATTTGGCCAAGGACTGTCACTCCCAAAAAACTCTTCGGGGAACTTGTATGCTGCTACAACAACGACAACTGAACATATTCTTTTTGGATTTGGAAAAACAAAGTTAAAGTCAAACCATTACAAAATTCTACCAAAATCTAATTCGTGTACCCTCTAGGGCTATTCGCGATTTGGTGCATAAGAGCTGACAAATTTATGCTATTGCAGAAATATACCACGGATTGTGAGCGACCTTTATTAAACTGTGATGGTAAAGCTTTTGCAAAACAATTTTTGTGCATCAGCACAAATTTGCAATGCAATGATGCTAGGCCATTTGCACCGGATCGCGAATAGCCCTATTGTATAGCATACTGGTGGTAAATAATTTTCTGCAGCGCTATGATTGGAAAATGCGTTTTTTGCTGAAGAAAATGAAATAAACATTTTCGTTATTATTTATTGCTATTACCAAAATTATTCAAATTCGATGTTCAGATACATATATACATATGTATTATTATGGATTTATCGAAATTAAAAATCGTTATTTACGTATTTACGACGGAAACTCGTCTAAGTAATATTCGTTACGTTTTATTTTGATTTACAATTGCAATTTTATGCAACTATACAATAGCAGTATCAATAAAATAAGTGTTTAAATAAATTAACTATTCTTAAATTATGTTTTATCAAAGTGGTATTCGTCAAAATATATACAAGTACATACAACAAAAAAATTAATTACATACACATACGTTTACTAATTATATAGTACATCTTCAATTGGAACTGTAGTAAATGGGTCACGCTAGACATATTCATCTTATACATTTCATTAATAAGTTAGGTCTATTAAATATTGTGTTTATAGTTATATCGATTTTATCTTCTGAAACACGTTGTTCTTTTTTTTTCTTTACATCCAATATTTAATCCGTTGTTAGTACTTAATAATCCATGAAGATGCAATATTAAATTTATAATCCTATGAGAGAAACCACAATTCGCTTCTAAGATTAATATACTATAGTACTTTTTATATGATTTATTTTGAAGGAGTGTGAATGGTCTTTAATCCAGCAATAAATAGCGTAGTCGTTTTCTGGCTGTAGATTCGCGTGGCAGCGATAGAGCCCATTTCTTTAGTGCTGTTAGTATCACTGAACTCACCACCAGCAATGCTCCCAAAAGCGAAAACCCGGTTGGAGTTTCACCAAAGAACATTATTTGCCATATAAATGCGAAGACAATATCTGCACAGCGTGCTATAGCCACTGGTCCAGCCTGTTCCACTTGTAGCGACAATGTAAGCAATATTTGGCCCAAAAAGCTAAAAATACCTAGAACCACAACTAGCCAACGATCGTGACCACATGCCGGCCAACACAAGGCGCCAATCGAGCCGCACACAATGAAAGTGTAGACAAGCGCAAAAGCACCAAAATTTGTCATTATAACAGAGAAATGCAGTCCTTTAAGGGCTCGCAGGAGTATGTATACATTGGCACCAAATAATGTGGACGATATGGCAGCAACTGGACCCCAGATATCATAGGTTTTCCCCGAAAACCGTTCAGTCTCCATTGAAGGCGCGGCGTCACCAAAAACGAATGGTGGCCGTGTGATGAGAACTACGCCGACCAGTGTTAGTACGATAGTTACGATGTTGAAAAAACTGCATTGTTCTTTGAGAAAAACGCGGGCAAAAATCGCTACAAATACTGGTGTCGAAAAAATGATAACACTGGCGTCGGCAAGTGGCATGTGGCGGAAGGCGTAAAAACTTAGCATTAACCCTGTGGTGCCCATAAAACAGCGTAGTAACAATATAACACGCTTGCCTTCGGGAAACACTGGATGGCGCGTGTACACGACAATAGGTATTGCGGGAAGTAAGACACCAATAAATCTGTAAATAAATACACACCATATCACAATTAAAATTTGATTTATAAAAGTCTTACTCACCGAAACGAAGCAAGTTCCATTGGATTCACATCCACCAATCCCTTAACAATTACTGAGCATAGTGAGAAGAAAAGCGAGGAGAGAGTAGCTAGTATAATACCCAAGTAGGGGCAGTTTAGAGAGGATTTGAGACGGGTAAGTAGCTTGTGTGAAGTTTCGCCATGGCGAAACCCGTCCACAAACTGATGCAGTTCCAAATTTTCCGGCATCGTTGTTTGTTTAACAATTTCCAGCGATTTTTCTCTGGCAGGCTTCCACTAATTACGATGCACTCCAGCAGTGACGTTGCAAATATGCATTTTTATTCCCAGCAAATCTATGTATTTTAAAACCAAAAACATATTTTTAATGTAAAAGATAAAATAAAATAAAAACAATTTACATCGTATTTACAGCTGCTGGCCTGTGGTGGGTGCTATTGTTGCTGCAGTTGGAAAAATCGATTTTCCGTGCAGTTTTACACAGATTTCACAGTTCGAGCATGCAATGTTTATTCGATGTGGTCTTAAAATTGCAACTTAACGAGAACCTGCACAGTTTTTCCAATTGTAATTAATTTTATAAACATTTTTACTTTGCTCGAGAATTTATCCTCAAAATTAGACAAAATTCGTATGACTTCCGCATCCTTAGCTTTATTTCCCATTGAGATGTGAAAGTGATGAAGTGAGAACCGATTATGAAATTCACGCTTTTTGTAACCGGTTTACTCCGAAAATGTATACGTTTTCATAGATAAGAATATTTTCATGTAAGGTCGGTGTTACGTGGGTGTTGTTCAGAAATTTTGTTGGGCAAACTGCGTGCAATTGTTGTTGCAGCAAACTCGGAGTGAGCGAGCGAGTTTGGCGACTCTCACAGCAAACTAGTTTTGTTTGGTCAAACTGCAGCAAATTCGGTGTTGTCATATACACAAATTTTAGACAATTGTTTCTATACACAAAAATTGCCGTGATACCGAAAGCCAGAAACTGAATTTATGCTGTAAGAGCTTCAAAGATTAGGGCACAGTTAATTGCCTATACGATATCATAAAAAATATATTAATTGTGCGCGTTATGTACATCTGAAATTCTCATTTCGTGTTGTCAATAGCCATGCAAATCATAATAAACGGGCAACCCTGTGCCAAACTCGTCATAACCACCTCCGAGCAAACTAAGCAGCCGCCATTTAATTTGGCAAACAAAAGTTTGTCTGCATAGCACCGACCTAAAAATGTAAAAAAGTCAAACTGCAAAGTTACTCTCTGAAGTGAGAGTAAAAAGTGAGTAACAACAAAAAGTACGAGAACAAAAAAAAGCATTTTTCCTGTAATCAACCAGTGATCGCTTGATACTTTTCATGATTTCACCAGAAGAAAAAGTTCGGGTAAAATCTCGAAAGTTCATTTTCTAAACAACTCTCCAAAATTCGCTATCATTTACAGGATTTTGGAGGAATTTGGAGTACGGGATCATTTTTCCTGTATCTTCTTGCAAGTACCTGTAAGCTCAGGGAGAAACAAAATTCTTAAGAATTGCAAGAGAGCTTAAATACTAGTATTGTTGCACTTTATTATCTTTACACAAAAGACATCATATTCATATTTTATTAATATATATCGGTTACTGGTTCACAATTTGTATAATCGGTTTTTACAAGCGTTGCCAGGTAGCTAGAATGTGTTAACGTTCTAGGAGTGCACTTTGTTGCCAAAGTGGTTTGCAGACCACTGGCAGATTCTGAGCTTTGGTGGCTTGAAGACCACTGAAAGTCTCCATGACAACGTTGGTGGTTTGAAGGCCACTGCAAGACAACATTCAAATGCGTAGTTCAAAACAGAAATAAATAAATGAAAACAAACTAAAGGCTTACAAAAAACCACATGCTTGCCAAAATATTGAGCATTTCTATTAAAAAAATGTGATTTGTTAAAATTTCTATCAATAAAACTATCTGAGATTCAATTCAGTATTAGCTAAAACGAGTTTAAAGACCAAACGAGTAACCCAGCAGTGATCGCCAATTGTTAAGAAATCCACTCAATACGGTGATAAGTTTTCATTTTACTAGATAAGGTAAGTTCTGATTTATTAGAAAAAAATCCTAGTTATTCACATAAAAAGTAGCTATAAATACCGCAAAACAATAAGCAATTTACGACCGCTTTCAGATGAGGCGTTTAAATGTATCCAAAATGTCGCGTTTTAACAAAAATTCGTTTAAAAAGGCTTAGAAACCTAGATCAGCCAATACCGCATCTAATTCCGCTTGCAAATTTGCTGCTTTGGCACGTATTTGTGTAATCTCGTCTTGCAAATTATCTACATTAGCTTGAAGCAATACATTGCATTTCTTCATTGCTAAGAAACGACTCTCGTGTTTCTTCACACGTGGTTCCAGATTACTCTTTTTGTCAGCGTTGCTGGCATCCTGAGAGAAAAATTTGTTTTGCAAATATTAAATCAGGTTGATTTTAGTTTAGCATACCTCTGTTTCGGATTCGCTTTCAGTTTCTGCTTCGCTTTCTTCTGATTCCGACTCCTCAGAATCTTCTTCCTCTTCCTCGGTCTCTTCTGCATCGTTATCCTCCTCGGGTTCCTCTTCCTTAAATCGTAGTTAGTATTATTTTCAAACTTAAATGTAATTTTGAATGAAACCACCTTTTCCTCATCATCGTCCTCATCTTCTTCCTCGTCCTTCATAGAGGCCGCCATCTTCTGAACTTCCTTCTCCAGCTTCTTGAACTTTTTGTTTTCCTCTCTGTCACATTTAATACACCAATTAAAATGTACCCAATTCTCAGCATAGATGAATGAGCATAGATTATGTTTGTACTTACTTAAGTATAACATGGTTCTTCTTCATAGCTTGTTTCAGTGCCAACTTTTCTTTTTTCGCGGCTTCGCGCTTAACTTTTATCTTTGTCAACTTGCTTCGGAGCACCTTCACTTCCTTCCCTAGACGTCGTTCGCGGCGCTCCGCTTTTTTCTCCTCCGGTTCGTCAGGATCACTTTCACTCATATCCAGTTCTAAATCTGGTGAGCTATCACGTCCACCATGCACATCGCTGGGTCGTCTTGAACCATTCAAAGAGCCGCCTCCCTAAAAATTAGTTAAATACAGTATAAGTAGTTATCTTTGTATACCCTCCTAGTACATGCTGATAAGCGTGAGTTTGTGTTACCTTTGTGTTAGTGTAGCAATTAGCATAGTTTTCAAAGCCATAATACGATTCCTCGTCAAGTGGGTCTTCGTATGAGTAAAAATACTTTGTTTGTTGCCTTCTACTACATATAGGACAGGGCAGGGGCGTCACATTACCCTTTTAGCATTTTTATTTTTTCAATTTTGGGTTAATAGCGGTGAGAAGTAAGAAAAGCTTGCAAGTTTTAAGAATTCATTTAAGCATTAAAGCATACATATTTCTTCCAAACGCTAAGTACCATTTATAATAATATTAAGAAGCCTACTTTTTTAGCAAACGTAATTCTAGGGTGAATATTTTTATCGCAACTCACCTGCAATGCCTGCGCCAGTTTACGCTCCATCATCTGTATCGTTCGCTTTTGCTCTTCAATCTCGCTCTTTGCTTGATCAAGTAATTCGCCTGTGTCAAGATATTTCTTCTCTAGGTCTTTGGCTGTCTTGCGGGCATCTTCGGCTTCCTGTTTGAGTGAATTCAAGTATGCCTCTTCACTGGCGGTTGTCGGTTCCATAGTTGCCACAATGATACGTGAGCCATACTCCAGATTCTTTTCGCGAGACTTCTCGCGCTCCAGCTCCGCTTCTAGAGTTGCAATTTGCGCCAGTAATTTCTTATTCTCCCGTTCCTGCGCTTCGCGATTACGCAATTCGAGGGCCAACATCTGCTTTGTGCTCTGCAAATCGTCGCGTATCTTGTCAATGTCGTCGAGTTCGTCGCCGCTGGGATCGTCAATTGAGAGTGCAGCTACAATGCTGTTGGTGATAATGGCCGGGTCACTAGCGGCGCCAGATCCGACCGCGGCTCCAACAGCAGCAGTAGCAGCCTGCAGGACAAGCAATTAGATGTTATGAGACGCAGAGCTAAGAAACGAAATTGAATTTCACCTCTGCTAGTAGGTTGATTTTCGATTGAGACTTCTGTATCTGCTCCTCTATTGTCATCTGTTTGCGGAATTTTCTCAAACCCCCAATAAATGGTTTACTGCGATCATTTGTTTGTGTGGGTTTGAGTTTGATGCCACCTTGAATTTGTTTCAGTAGTTTGTTGTGTGAGTTGTCCTTTTCCGTTTCGTAGATGAACTTATCGTCCACTTTCGTCATGGATTTGCAAGTGAGAATGGGCTGAGATCTGCAAAATTTATATATACGTATGTGCTTTTAGATATCAGTTAACTCAAGTGCTACAAGTCACAAAAAGGCTTGAAAACCTCTCCATGCTAATTGAGTTTCTTTATTCCTAAAGTTTTTTTTTGTGTGCAATTAGCTTAGTTATTTATGTACATAGGTATGTACGTGTGCATATTGATTGCGCCGTATATGTTTTATTTAAGCTTTGTTAAGCTTATTTGGTCTTCCTTCAGTGGTTTCAGTGGTTTCTCGCTTTTGTCCTTTTCCTTTTACCACTCACCTGTCGTTGCACTGCACATGACGCAATTTCTTGCCAGACTCCACCTCCTTCATCATCTCGGACCAATCGGGACGCCTGCGCGGTCGTGTCCTACTCGGCGGGTACAAAATGCAAAATTCAATTCATGCAATGGGTTATTTTTCACAATTAAGTCATAATTTATGCAAATCAGTAATGCCACAAGCAACTTGTTTCAACTCACTTAAGTTTTTCTATGACGGCCTTTTGTGTTTCACTCAGCTCGCGCTTTTGACCAGCAGCGCCCAATGGTGGTGGCGGTGGTGGTGGCGCTTTCGGTACCAGCGAAGGCAGCGGCGGAGGAGCGGGAACTGCAAATCCAAAGCAAAATGTGGTCCAGCCGGCAAATTAAGTACGCGTTCATATTGGTGGCAGCGAAGGTACAGGATACGAGTGCAAATGCATAAGGAGAAGAGACGTTGTTGGAAAGAAGACGTTAAGAGGACTTTTAATTCATTAAAAATATAAGTCTTAAGTAAATTGCGAATGCAAAAAAGTGAAATATTTAATGAGGTTACGATTCGCGTGGATGCAGTGCAGTAACTTGATTCAATGGTGGCGCAAACCAGAGTCACTTTTCCCAACTACATACTTTCATTTGAAGCTTCTCTCTTATCTACGAGTGTTTTTTTTCGCTATTTGCGCTGCGCGTAAAGTGGTGCGGTGCTTGTAACTCAACTTAAAGGAGGTAGTGCTACTACTCTCCGGCGAGTGGCAATGGATAACTTGAAGCGAGCCAGCTGCGGCTGGAGTAGTAATTATGCAATGTCGGTTGTAGCCTCCACAGACTTTATGTTGCCTTCAAATAAGTGTGGCTTGTTTGGTTAGAAGGTGTTCGCATATTTTTTGCTGCATTTGTGTGAATAAGTTAATTGCTATGTCAAAAGTTTCCTAAAGTAAATCTGTTTAAGGTGCTTCAACCGTTTCTAGCAAGTGACAAAAACTGAATTGATGAGAGATTTAAAAAGTAATGATATAATAATAATATGGTTCATTCAACAACAAAAAACAAATATATAATTCCTAAACTTTGTGCAAAACTCGCGAAAATTCAGCAAATTTTCATGCAAATTTTCAGCTTTTTAATCAGATATTTTAGAATTTTTTTGAGTATGTAGATTTGTAGCCCAATCAATTTTATGTTAATAAAGTACAAGTTTTAAGTAGCTAGGAATTACCGTCGATTTTTGAGACCGCGTGAATCTCTTCCATACAAATTTTTTTTTCGAAAATACTTTATATGAAGAAATGCAAAGCACCTTCAACAAAAAACAAAAAAATTCTAAAAAATAAATTCGATTTTTGACTAACTCCGATCTGGCACTTTTTTAATAGAATTTAATGGACTGCACAACTGCATACTCAACAAAATTAAAAAAAATCTGATTAAAAAGTTCAAAATTTGCTGAATTTTCGCGAGACAGATTCGCCATCAATCCAGTGAATATGCGGAAAAGTTTGGGACTGTTTAACAAAAAATTGCGTTTCGCAGTAACTCAATAAAAAAAAAAAACAATTTTTTACAGCACACTATTTTTTGAAACAGTTTTTCAATAAAAAAAGGGAATTCCTGGCACTATGTGTACCTGTTGTACACCCCGAGACAAAAAGAATTTCTAATTTTTTACACAATTTTTAAAAATTAAAGAAGTTGCAATAGTGACAATTTTCTAGTTTGAAGTGTCTAAAAAATACCGTTGATTTTTGACAATCTTTTTTGTTGACGGTGTCACAAATTTTCTTCCATACAAATTTACTATTTATGTTCCACAATTTTTTTTTGTATGGATAAAAATAACACCGTCGACCATCAAAAATCAACACGAAACTTGAACACTATTACTTGAATTTACTGAGCTACAAAACTGCAAGCTTGGAATTTTTCTAACAGTTATGAATAAAAAGTTTGTTGTGATTTTTTTTTTTTTTCTACAAAGTTTGAAATGTGGATTTATGTACATATTTATATCGCCACCTGGATGGAAGATCGACCTATTTCGGCAGGCATTTCGAAAACAGAATACTTTTCAAGAACAACCTACTTCAGAATTTGATTGACGAACGCCCTATTTCAGAATTTTATTGAAAAACACTCTATTTCAGCTAATTTCGTTATGGTGTTAAGTATTATCTAAATAACTAGACTTTAATAAAAAATAATAAACTGGTCAAAATGTCGTGTCCCAATTTTTTATAAGAGAGTATATACAAGCGACAAAAGAACGCTTATCTCGGTTAAAATTTCGTTTTAGCTACTTGAGCAACCCTGTTGGTATATGGCAAGAAACGTGTGATTTGTTTGACGTTGTTTAGACACAAAAAACAATAGAAAGCAGTAATTATGCGTAATATATATATACTAATTTCAAATATAAATCATGTACATACAGTGGAAGCTTCCATAAGCGAACTCCGATGGTCGCCTACTTTTTGCCCGCCTATGGGAGATGTTCGCTTATGGGAATTTCGTAAAAAATAATATTAAAATTCAAAATTAAAACATTGAAATTGCAAGTATCTAAATTTAATGAATAAAAAGAGAAAATTAAAAATAAATTCAAATTTATGGCGTTTTCTTTTTCGTACCGTCCAATCTCATTGCTCGCTTCGCTCAAGCAGCAAGAAGAGGGTAACGAAAAGGCAACACATTTTCTTGTGTACATATACATATGTATGTACAAGCGCAAGAGTCAACATCTGACTGAAGAAAAAATTGACCGCTTGTTAGAGCCTCACGTCCACTTATGGGAATTTTTTTTCCTAACTAAAGTCCGTGTTTGGGAGAGTGTTTTGTATGGAAAAAAAACTAAAAATTGTTCGTTCCCAAGAATGTGTCCGCTTATAGGAGATGTTCGCTCATTAGAGCGTTCGTTTATGATAACTTTCACTGTATACATATACGAAAACAAGAATTTCCCTCTACACTTTCCCATTAACAATTCACAATATCTATATCAGTTTTTTCACTTAACAACACTACCCTTACGGTTGCATATTTTTTAACCGACCTTGGTGAACTCGGATAAATAGCCGAGTTTGTGTTGTTGCTTTGCATGTATTTCGTCATTGAAGCGAGTGTTCTTTTGTAGCTCGGTTGCAAAAGAATATACCTATTTATATGCATTTTTATAACGTGTTTCCACGCCCAATTCGCCGTTGGCTTATATCGTTTTTTATCAACGATTGAAAAATGTATACTAATTCTGTGCATTAAAAAAAATTAGGGAGCAAAACAATTTTTTTTTTCGTATTAAGGCAGTATTTTGGAAAAAACCACGGTACCCATTTTTACCTTTTATTAGCTCGGGATGTAACTATGTAATATTGATGCGCCTAAAAGATGCAGCGATTTCTATTCTCAAGTTGCATACCTGATTCCAGTACGAATGGCAATTATAATAGGGAGGTTCTAGTTTTTTAAACTATAATTTTATTTAAGTAAAAAAAAGCATTATACTGCAAAAAGAAGAATAAATACCAGCCTTGGGTACGCATATTCAATTTAGCAAAATTCGAATGCCCCCTTAGTTCTGGGGCACCCTAATGTAATTTGTGTTGGATTTTGGTTCCCAATTACCCTACTAAAACTTAAAGCCTACGTTGACTTACAATCCAAAATTATTTAATGTATCCTGCTATTTTTCGACACTCTGCGGCTTTTACATAAGTCTTCCGTTTTCCGTTCGTTTTGCTATCGTCCACCTAATTTAGTTGTCCATTTTTATTCATTCTTTTTATCTCCCAGTTTTTGCGGTCCCGAACTACACATTAAGGTTTTCAGAACAATATCTATGTATGTATGTACGTAAAAAATTCTAATTAACTTCTATTCAACTTGCTGTTTAACATTCACCCTTACAATTCTCCTACCCATTTTTCAGATTTTCTATCTTTTGCCTAAGTTATCGTCTCGCTTCTTTATTCAGATGAAATGGCGAGATATTTAACCTGGTGCAAAAAATATCTTTTGTATCTCTATGTTTTGTTCACAAGATGAGGGCGTCTGCCGTTTGTTGAACTTTGCAAAATATAATTTTTTAAGCGCATACAATTTTAATTAAATAATAGTTTTGACTTTCTGTGTTTTCAGCGCAGCCGAAATTTATGCGGGTATGCAAAAAGATAATACGTTGATATACATATCGTCGTTTAAAGTGCAAAACCGCGTATCAGCAAAATGCAAAACCGCGTATGTGAAGTTGTAGAAATTATTTTCTAGAGCGTAAAAACACTCACATTTCAAAATGATTCTCTTTTTTATAAAGCAATCGCATTTCTGGTTAATATATTTCAGGACGAATGGATAAGGATTGAGGCAAGAGCTTGTGTGAGCAAATCCGATTTTTGGCAGCCAATGTCAGTTACGCGGTTTTGCAGAATGACGATACGCTGTTTTGTACTTTAAACGACGATATATTTATGTATTCGTATATTGTACTTTTAAAAGTAAATAAATTATTAAGAAATAAGATAACACTCACTTTTATGATAAAATCTCAGTGCAGTTTGTGATGTCTGGACCCTATTTTTACCTTCCTTTTATTAACTCGGGATGTAACTATGTAATATTGATGCGCCTAAAAGATGCAGCGATTTCTATTCTCAAGTTACATACCTGATGACAGTACGAATGGCAATTATAATAGGGAGGTTTTAGTTTTTTAAACTATTATTTTATTTTATAGTCAAGCGAACAGAAAAGTAACGAAAAATGGAAACGTAAACTTCTCAGCCAGCTTATTTTTTTCAAAGCTCAATAGTATTGTACATATATCCATACACCCACCAGAATAAGTCTCCGTACACCTTTTTTTAATATTTCCAATATTTTTCTTAATAAATCTTTTTCGTTAATTTTTAATACAAATAGTTCATTCTGCATCAAATAGCATATACATAAGTATATTCGTGTTTCAAAGTTTTCACAATCCAAATTTTTCAACTTTCAAACAAAATTTTTAGAATTTTTTCCCATACAAAGAAACTATCAACGCATTTGTTATATAGAGAAAATGCGCAACCTTCATCAGGCAAACAAATTCTCAAAAATCAACGGTAGCTTGAAGCCACTTAACGCTTGCACTTTATTATACTAGAGTTGAGTGAACTCTAATTCTAAAAATTTTTGTTTAAAAGTTCAAAATTTTGGTGAAATTTTGTAGAATTTTCCTAAATTTTGTAAAACCTTTGAAGCACTAATTTACATATATGCCACTTCATGTAGAATAAACTATATTTCCATAAAAAAACTAACAAAAAAAAAATTCATTATGAAAAACATTGCAAATATTAAAAAAAAAACACTGTACGG